GTTATTAGAGCTCGTGTTATTAGAGCTCGTGTTATTAGAGCTCGTGTTATTAGAGCTCGCGTTATTAGAGCTCGCGTTATTAGAGCTCGCATTATGTAAACTATGTGAAGCTGGTGACACAAAAGAAAAAAATGCTTCATGTTTTATGAAAATGAAAATGTCACCACGATTAAATGTTGGCGCATAAACATATCTCAGCGCTGTCATGCTGCTGCGCCTGAAGCAGGTATGCATGCATGTTCAAAACGTGAAGTTTGATTGGCTACACGAGTCTGCTGGTTTTTAAATTTGAGGAAATGATTTTCTTGTTTGTGTTTTGTTTTTTTCTCTGCAGGAAGTAGGAAGCATCATCGGAAAGGTGAGCTAACGTTCCCTTCTATCATCGTGTTACCCAGTATGAAAAAATCGGATCTGCCAGGAAGTAAAAATCACTCAATCTGTGAAAAAGTCATTAAAATGAACTTTTAAGTGAAATTAAAAAACATTAGAAATCCTCTAAAACCAACATCAGAGCCAACTTCAGGCTTTAGTTTTCTGAAATTTGCACGCCTGTCGTGATAACATTGGGCGTAATCCTTCTACATGATATGAAGTTGCCGTGAAATGTGCATTAACAGTGTGTAACATTTCCAGTCAGGCCGTGTCATTCGAGTCTGTACTTACTGAAAAGGCGCTGCTCTCAGGGGAAGCGAGCCCGTTTAAGCGTGGACGTGTTAAATAAAGCCCAGTAGGATTTTTATCCAAGTATATCACAGCTGAGCGAGGCGCGATAATGACCGCTGGCCCCCACGGCACATTCGCTAACCCACAATTGGGGCTGATATCCTTCACCCCCCCACCCACCCAGTCACTTCCAGTATGCGGCCTATTAACTGTGACACAAAGATGGCATTAAATTACACGATGGTTGTAGTTGGATCGTGCCAGTCTGTAGTCACGGTGCAGGAGCTGCTCTCCGGGGCTCCTGCTAGCATTAAACGAGCCTGCCAGGCTGGCTGGTTTGGGCAGGCTCGGCCAATGAGGACGCGTGTCGGCAGAGATAAATGTTACGCAGCTCAGAGCGCAGATGTGATCCGTGTTAGCCCCGTTTGTTTATCGCGCCGATGTTTTTCCTGAGCGAATTAGCAAACGTGTGTCACACTCACAGCATCGCACTGTCATACCTGTTAGCCGCCTAGCTCACTGAGGAGCTCCACCAGTGAAGCTGCTCGGGGGCATCCCGCTGGCTGTTGATTAGTAGGCAGCAAGCGTCGCTGATTCGTTTTCCTCACCTGGATTTTTCAGTCAGTCTTTCAGTAGCAGTAGCTTACTCCTCGACGATTTAAAAACACTGGAAAATGATCTTGTATGTATTTGATCGTGTTGCTCAGATACTTGTCTAATACATCTTCATTAAGGACTCGGTACACTCGGAGATGACTGTCCTTCCTGTGTCTCTCCACAGAAAGGAGAAACAGTGAAGAGAATACGAGAAGAGGTAAGACTGACCTCATCTCCCATCACACATGTTCATTCTTCTGTCATCCTCCTCTGTCTCCCATTAACCATGACTGCCCTCTGAGTGCAGCTCCTGCTAACTGCAGCGTGGCTGTAAAGCACTGTGACGCTGTGTCAGTGAGACATAAGGAGTCATGATATCCTGTTAGGGCTCCTTTCTGCTCAGACTTAACTGTAAATACAATAAAAAGGGGCTTTCATCTTCACCACAGCTGTGAGCAAGAATCCACCTCAAACATCTGAAGGTGTGTTTAGTATTTTTGGCGGCCTCCTGTGATGTTGCAGTTTGCACATTTAGCTGCTCTTTGCTGTCAAAAGTCTTTAAAATGTACAGGGGAGGAGTTCCCCTGCAATCGGACCTCTCTGGCTTCCTGTGTGTTCGAGGAGACATCGAGCGTGACACAAACGTGAGGTAAGAGGGGAACCGAGACGAGGACGCTGGATCGTGCCAATCAGAATCTGTCGGCAGCATCTGCAAATCAGAAGCTAACATCGGTGGTTCAAACTTCAGGACCAACAGCTTTCTGGTGCAATGCTGATGCAAGACTTTGTTCAGTGGAAATGTGTGAAACCAGTCAATGTCTCACTGTTTTCAATGCAATTGTATTTATATAACTGCAAATCAAAACAACAGTTGCCTCAAGGTGCTTTATATTGTGTGGGAAAGATGCTGTAAAGCTTCTTCAGCAGCTGAGCATTGTGGGAAACTCTGACGGGACGGTGCTCCGGTCTGGTGGTGCAATGTTGCTGTTCCCATTCCCAACACATGAAACGAGGCTTTATTCTCAAAGCTGTTGGCGTGTCTCGGTGGGGGTGGGGACACTACGGTGACCCCCCCCCCCCTCTTCAATTTCCAGCATGTGGGATTACTGTTGTGAAGAGGTGCGTCCACCAAATCTAACAAAGTTGTTTGTAGTGATTAAACCGAAGCTGGACGAAAGCAAAACCAAGCGCAAAACAAAAAGGTCCGTGAACCGTGGCGTTCTGACAGCAGCGCTCCTCCCGCCTCTGAACTCTGACAGACTCTGTAGAGTAGCACCATAATCTCTCTGATGTTGGTGCGCTGAGGCACAAACAGCATTATCTGACACCCTCGGATGGGAACGTTCACTCTGAACCTTTAAGTTGACAGGATGACTAACAGTGAGAAGAACTGAACTCATATTTCATATAAAGACAAAACCTGAATCCCAGCAGCGCCCAGCGTGAGAGCCGGTCTAATCATCTGCTGCCTCTCCATGCTGTCTGCTTTCTCTTACCTCTCCTGGCTTCATTTGCAATCAGGTCACTTGCAGCAGCTGTATGAATACTTAAACACACGGATCTATAAGTTCAAATGCTCCACATTCATCTCACTGAAAACAGAACACGGCCATATCAGTGGCTTAATGTATTCCACAGCAGTTTTTTATATAAGTGAACAAAGATGCCAAGATCCTCCTAGGAGAGATGCTGTGGAGATGATCCGTGAGCAAACAAGACTCGGAGAGAAGTACCTGTGTGAGTGTGTATTCATAGCTTTGTGGGGACCAAAGATGGAAGTTTACCTATAAATGTGGTTTCAGTGTCAGGGTTACAGGTTATGGTCAGGTTTGGGGTAAGGGGCTAGGGAAAGCATTATGTCAATTAGATGTGTGTGTGTGTGTGTGTGTGTGTGTGTGTGTGTGTGTGTGTGTGTGTGTGTGTGTGTGTGTGTGTGTGTGTGTGTGTCATATATTACACTGGAGAAACAAGGATGAGTTTTTATGTCCCTGAATCCTCACCGTCATGTTGAACAGCTCTCCCGAGTCCCTGCAAAATAAAAGCTTGTCAGCAGCTCGCAGACTGAACTATGTGAGAAATGATCACACTGAGATTCTCTTTAACTACAGAATGAGCTTCAAATTAGGTCACACAACACCTTGCGGTGTTTTTCGACAATATGTTTCTGGAGTTTAATGAGTCTACATGAACTCAGTCAGTCCTCTGCTTGTCTGGAAAAATGTAAAATATTAACCCACAAATCTGTTCTGGAGGGAGAAATGATTTTAGAAAAGTGTGTGTTAGGAGAAATGGTTTGAAGATGACTGCACATGAATCAAGACTCCGGCGAGAAACGGGGGAGGGAGCAGGAGGGGGGGCAGAGTTTTCATTTATGTGTCGGGGGAATTTTAAGTTAACTTGTGAAATGTCACAAAAATAAAATGTGAATTTAGGCGAAAAAGAGACGATGAAAATTCTTTTATGCAAAACAGGCCATGCATATGATAATATTTAATACTTGCATATAACCCGAGCACTCGCACCTTTGCTTGTTGTGTTTGTGCTGGAGTGCAGTCAGCATCCTGGCTGTTTTGGAGAGCGCCTCCCAGAGGAGCTAAAGTAGGTGGGCAGGAAGTGGGAGGTCTGGGCAGTTCTGGCTCTGTGCATCCTGGACATGGATGGATGGACGAATGGTTTTTGTTTAATCTGTCATCATTCCTAATATAACAGCTACATTCTTGACGAAATCTTGAATTACATCATGATATTTCTGTGAGATAAAGAAACTAACAGCTGTTCCTTTAGAGATATATATAGAACAATTATAGGCTTCATTCTGAGGAAAAGGATGAATGAGGCAAACACAAGGCATTTGGGCGGTTTGGTCTAATAATGAGTAAGAGCAGGAAAAAGTGATGAAATCATGCTGCAGGAGGTGCTCTGTCCATGGTGCTGATGCTCAACATGTCCCAGAATGGGTACTCGGCTTTGTAATCAATTACAGATAGATTTTCTTTTTAGATGCAGCATGATGCAAAAACCAGAGAGCAGATTAGAAATACAACACGCAGCAGCCTGAAGCGCATTAGTGGCATTTACCATGTTAACTCTGTACAAAGGTCACACTCGCTCGAGCAGTGCTCACACAACACTAATGTGAGTTTGACTGACTGATCAGCCGCTTGTTCGGCTGAAACAACCTGCAGCCAAATATGGCTGAAATGTGGCTGTGCCTGGAGTTTCTGGCAGAACAATGCTGACTAATGATTCTTGTGGGAAACGTGGCATCAGAGGAAAAGGAGGAGAGCAAACAGAGCCTCGCTCAGACTGAAGAGAGTCGGGAGTCTCTAAAGGGGCCAGTGGAAGTCCAGAAGTCCAGAAACTGGATCCAAACGTGGGCACACTATAAGAAGATCAATGCATCGCACTGCTCATCGACAGAAACACAGCTCCTTCACTCTTTTAACTTAAAAGACCAGGTCCAGTATGTCTGTATATATTTAGTATACTGTTGACACGATGGTGCAGCGGTTAGAAGGTTTGGGATTCAAATCGTCTTTTTTCCAAAGACCTGCATGTTAGATTCATTCTATTCATACATGTGCAAAGATGAATAAAGACTAGATAGAAATGCACCATCAATGAATCATTACTAATGACAATACAGAGGTTCAGGACTGCCAACATGCATCACCTGTTAAAGGTGTAACAGCAGTAACATGGAGAGCCCTGCCCTGGAGAAACCTTTCAAAATAAAAGTACTCAAAGTGAAAATAAAACAGCATTTAAGCAACAAATGAAAGTTCAAATTCAAAATAAAACTTGATGACCCCTAATTTGACCTTTTGCAGAAAGATTGAAGGACAAAAGACAGAAAAGTGATGCAGATGAGGAGAAAAGAAATCTGATTGTTGTTCTGGAGCATTTGAAGGTGGAACTCGGAGCAAGGAAGAGAAAGCATGAATATTTATATCCATATTTGCCTCTCAAGGACAAACCACACAGAGTTAGGCTAGATTCAAGCTCTGTTTTCCTCTCATTACTCTTTTTCACTGCCTGGCCGGCTGCCTCACTCTCAGTCACTGTATATGCAAACTGACAGATCACAAACACACTCAGCCCGTCGTACATTTGTGCTGATGAAGTCTGTATGAAATCTAGTGTATCAAGGCTACATTTTTACACATGGCGTGTTTGTGAAGAGGTTTCTGGCACAGACGGAGACGACTCTGCATGCAAGAAGTCCCTTTTCATCATGTCAGTGAAAGCATTAATGTCAGGCTGCTGCTCTTCATCATGGCTTCACACACAAGCATAGACATACCTAGACATGCATGCAAACGCGCGAGTACACACAGCCTGTCCTTTATCACACACAGATGCTCACATGCCTCCCTGATAAAGCAGAACAGAGCAGACTAATCCAGTTGAATGACATGGCTGTCCATCCTTCCTCTGCTCCAAATGAAGAGTAATGAAGACAGCCGTCCCACGCTGCAACAGCAAGACGGCGCACTGCTGCACTTATTATGACTGGAGGGGGAGGAATGAGGGGTGAGGAGGAGGAGATGGAGAGGGGAGAGGAAGATGGGTGGAAGGGTGAAAAAATAAAAATAGAAAGATCTGGAAAATAATGACGCCCAGATTCCCACTAGTGGGAGAACGTGCACGTTCAAAGGTGTGTGTGATTTAGCTTCAGTGGAGATGAGTCCAGAAACACCGCTGCATGCTTTCTTCTGTTTCTGCCGGTATAATATTTTATTTTTATCTCCTTGAATGTGCTCGTATATGTTAGTTCTGTTGTGAAGCAGGCACGTGCACAGAGAGGTCTGAGGTTGCATTCATTTAATAAGTTTGAGGTTCATGCACACCTTTGTGCTGCAGAATTCCCCTCATCCCCCTCGGATATGTCAGCGCTTCTGCTCTTTCAACCCCTCCACCAGCCCCAGCATCCACCAGTGAGCTCATCACTCCCCAGTTTCTCTGTGACCTGAACATGAAGGCAAAGTTTACGAGTCGACTCGTATTCCTCCTCGTCTCTGAGATGCGGGAAAGCACTAGAAAAAAAACAAACAGGAACTTTTCCATCATATCTCGTAGCATCTCTTTTCATTTCAGTTGATTTTTTTAACTTTCAGTTTTGTTAACCCCGTATCAAAAAATAAACCAATCAGTTAATCGGACCTTTCAGAGTATCATCGCTGTGTTTGGATCAGACTCACGGTACCACCAGCTCAC